ATGATGATGATGATGATGATGATGATGATGATGATGATGATGATGATGATGATGATGATGACTTGATGACTTGATCACTTGATCAGACTTTGTTGGGAACAGATGGGATCACGATGACCCGCGACGACATTGTACCTGGCACCGACTCCTTGCGTTCAGTGGGGGGTCCAGGTACACTTCTGTAGTCGCTCACATGGAAGTGGTAAATGGTTTGTTGGAAGACCATGTTCCTTTACAAACGAGTATGGTTTGTCTACTTCCACGTGATATCCTGAAGATGGTCTTGGAGGTGAAAGTATTTCCTGGAGGTGATGGTGCTGACCCTTTGGGGCTGATGGCTGGTTGTACCTTCTGCCGGATTGCGAAAAACAATGCGAACCAAGATGTACACAAAACACATATAGACAGAAACAGACAATGGATGAACATAAGGAATTTGCAACATATATATTATATATATATATATCCGTTATGCATGGATCGGTCCACAGTATCTTGATGGCTAAAGCTGAACCCCCCGCCGTTGACTCACTATTCTCCACGGCATGTCGATTTCTGGCAGGAGACGGTGAATTCCAAACACAGCATGGTGCCTTTGGCTCATAGTCCACAATGGGACATATGGTGCAGGTGATCATAGAACATAGTAGGAAGATGTAGGAAGTAGAAACAATCCACACCGGCGATTCACAGCGCTGAAGATTTATTGGGATGCAAGCAGTCTTCATTTGAGTTTCCCTTTATGTTCTTTTTTGGGGTATTGATGACTCAAAACGGTAACCCTGCAAGACAGATTAGTGGAACATTTTACAAATTTTTGGGAGATTCAACTCGTCCAAGTGTGCGTCCCTGGGTGTTTTGTTTTGCTGTTGTTCGATTTGAAGGCAGCCAGTTCTGTAGAACTGTTTTAAGACCGCATCCACTGTACTCCAACACAAAAGATGTTCATTCATTAAAGATTGAAGTATGATTATGTATGCAACTGTACACGACCGTTGTGTTGCTTGAGGAATTGTTTTTGACACACATTCAGGTATATAAGAGACCCTTTGACATGCGTTGAGTTGGTCAATTGAAGACAGACGCAGCAGAACAACAACTGAGGCATGCACATTGATTCATTCTTGATTCATGCCATGACCTGTGAGAAGTGAGTCCCCAAACCCATGATATACCTCCGGTGCCCTGGAAAACATGTTGTTCTAAGGGCTTCTGATAGCCGAGGGCTCAGATAGTTTTTGGGGCTTTCCTGTTGTGCTGGGGACTGGAGATCACCCGAAACCCACAGCCCACGAGGTGCAGTTTCATGCTTTGGCCCTGCTCTACGAGCTGAAGAAAGGCACAAAGAGCTGCGGATGCCAGATCGCTCTTGATGGTGGAAGTAAATCAACCTCAAAGCCCCAAGGCCCTTTTCTTTTAGACATCCCTCCTTCAACAGGAGAAGTCTTCTTGCAACAGTAGAGTCCGAGGGGTGGAAGTGTGGATGCCAAGATAGGTATGAAACCCGATTGACAGTTCCATGTATTTCCAGCCGCGTGACCAAGTTGAGGACAAGCAAGCTTGGTGTTTGTGTTGGTTGGTTCAAGTGCTTTAAGACAGGCAAGGTGTGCCCAGACTCTTTGGGCGACGCAGAACTTTGCTTTCAGCGGCGCAGAACACATGGCTCGTGTGGGAAGCAAGCTTGCCAAGGGCGCCCGGAAATTCTTGTGGCCTTCCCCGACCTCCGAGCAGCGGTTGATTGAGTACGCAAAGCACAAGATGCAGTACAACTTTGGCACTCGCGATGCAGAGGTGCTGACCAAGATGCAGATGGTGGGCATGAACGAGTTCAGAGGTGTGACACAGATGTGTGTGCCGACACACATGGTGAGGGAGAAAGTCCAGGAAGCACTCGTCACGAAAGGGGTACCACCAACAGTGGCTCGTTCCATCGCAATTCAGCTTCAGGATGCCCACATGCTCAATGGACAGTTTGAGAAGTTTCAAGTGGAACCTTCAGGCAGTGCGCACTTCTACAGAGTAATTGCGCGGATGCAAAGTGATGAAGGAGTTAGTGACATTGCATTGGCTGCAGCCGGGGCGTCCTTGCGGCCAAAGAGGTCACCCACTATGAAGAACAGCAGATTCCAGAAGATGGGACGGTGGAGGAGTGGACGATGAGAAGGTCTGGGTGGCTTGGGGACTACGAGCCGCAACTCAATCGCAAGAGGCAGCAGATTGGCACGAAGATCAACAAGATCCCAATCTTCTGACAGAACGCTTTCAAGCCTTCCGACATGGAGCTCATCAAGAACTGGTTGGAGAATAAGGCCCTGAAGGAGGTTTTGAACTTGGCACCTGGGCAGTACCCCACCCAGCTCGAATGAGACCATGAAACCATGGCCGCAGAGCTTGAGTATAAAGATTTTCAAGGAGGTTCCCTTGGCTCCCTTCACTTCTCTCAGGTCTAGTAGGCTAGATGAGAGAAGCTACCGCTTGAGCCACGCAGACCAACTTTGAATGCTTGGGACCGGAAGCGCAAAACATCGGTTGCCCTGACGTGTGTTTTGCTGTCTTTGCCCAGTCCACTCGATGTTGGGACGCCGACCGTCGGCGTCTTCTGTGACGTTCCGTGGGACCCGTCGACGGAGCCCGTCAGGCGACCGCCTGGCGCTGCACAAGGTGGTGACATCCATGGCCAGGAGCATCGATGGAGTGGGTTTGGTGGTCAAAGAACAGGCAAAAGTGGAACGCATATTTATAAATACTGTAAATGATGTTGAGTTGCCAAGGCCTCTTTGTTCTTGAGACCATAATAGTTTAGTCACCAAGAGGCAGTCTACGAAGATGACCTGGAGTCGAAATGTATCATCCTCAAAAAGGATCTCATGTTGATCACACCCCGGCCACAAGGCTCTTGCAAGAACGAAGTGCCGTGTGAAGCGTCACTACAGCCGATCCCTTCCAATCATTTTGTCTTACAGAACCTGAGTGACCCCTGTTTTGGAGGATCAACTACGTATGCTTATAACTTACAACATCTTATAACATGTATAACCTTTTCGCAAAAAGTGGGTCCAATGTGTTCTAGGGATATACTGATACAGACTGTTACTCTGAATGCCCTTTAAGCCTTTAAAGTTGGCTGTAGAATATAGACTTGATCCATCACAGTCGCCCACATGGTGAGCCCACTCTGCAGGAACAGCCTAAAGAGCCCGATGGCTGAGTGCCTTCTCATCAGCGGCTCGTTGTGGATGTAGTGTGGAGCAACGCAGGTGTGGCAATTTGCTTGAGTTTTTGCACCAAGGTTTGGATCTTTTGAGAGAACAAAGCAATCTTGATCCAAGCCTCTTGTGTTCGTATTATACAGTAGATCATTTTTGTTGATCGGATCCACAACTGGTTTGGAAGGAAGAATGCCCCAAGAATCCTCCAAAGACAAGCTCTTCATTCCTTAGGTGTTCTGAGGTGTGGTACCCGATGTGAACACCTTTATATTATTGTTTTTGTTGGAATTCAATTGTGCGGGTGGACGACGAAGAGACGTTCCTTTAGCTTGAGACGCCTATAGTTGAGCTAAGGGGGGCATCAGTGTTGAAGTCCTATACTTGAGAAAGGCCTTTACTAGCCATCATCCGCTGTTGCAAGGAATGGGATATCCAAAGAAATGACCCATGTTCCATCGAAGGGTTGGCTGTTGGAACGGCACTGAATCACCACGGAAGCCGCCACAAGGCAATCATCCACAAACGACCCGCTGCACCACTACCGTTGATGAAACAAATATGGAAAACCACATGCACCACTGCACCACTGTTCCTCCACAACTTGCAATGTTTTGGGATGGTGACTTGCAGTGTTCATTGCTCTCAAGTCACTTGACTTTGGGACTCGCAATGTTTCAAGAACATGTTCCAGTGAGCTGACCTTGGGGGGGTTGTTCATTTTCAGCGTTTCGCCGTTTCAGAGTTTCACGACCGGCCCGGCGCGGCCGAGGATATGCCACGCAGACCTTGATGTCGGAACGGGATGCCCAAGTGGAGAAGACCTTGATGTCCTACCTGGCCTCCTGGCTTTGGGAGTGATTACTGAGAGCGGAGTGAGGGTTCAGAGTGGAGGTTTGAGCTTCTGGAAAGGTAAGGGTTCACCAGGAGTTGACCACGTTTTCCCACCTTTCTCCGCACGAGAAGTGCAGCACACCTCGTTGGTTGTAGCCAGTGCGAACCGGCCTTCTTTCGTCTGGTCGCCTGCTGAATGGACTCGAAGGATGGTGGCTGGATGTGGGTTGCTATCCAGCATAAGTCCTGCAGAGCAAGACGGTGCCCGAAATGTTGCTGCCCCCCCTGGTAGAAGTTGCACGTGGATGCGGTAATAACCATCCGCAACGCCAGCCTGCGCCACATACGCACCCAAACTAGGGCTCCAAACATATCAGAAGGTGGTTAGACCCCCAAAACCCACCCCAACCACCGAACCTCAGGAGGTGGGGGAGGTGGGCCAGGAAGTATCATAAGAGGCCAGGCGATGCTCCAAACAGTTGGACGGGGGGGGGGGAGCCGCCTCAGAACCTGGAGCGTGGCATGTCACCTGCGTCCCACCTCTGCGCGAGCCGCGGACGCGTTTGAGGATAGTTGCCTGCGGCATAAGAGCGAAATGGTGACCTATGAGGCGCAACCGGGAGCGTGTTGGGGAGGTCGGCGGGACAAAACACAGCGGAACAGATGGGCTGATAGGCCGGATCTGATGAGAAAAGCTGTAAAGATACCTGAGATACCTAGGTAGTTTCGAGTAGTTCATTGTGGATTGGGCCTTTTTCATTGGGAGCTGAGAAATGGCATTGATGAGATGTTAAGACGTTGCAGCTGGTCTCAGGGCTTGGGTCCGAGCGCGCAACCCTTCGCCAGGCGGCGCGCGCCTTCTGCCAGTTGGCGGCGGTGGACACGGACGGTGCCAGCGGGCACACCGTCTTAGGCGTCGGCGGAGCGTTGGTGGCGTTGGGGTCAACGAGAAGGTGGTTGTCTTCGTTGTTTCGGCGAATGGGAGCCACTGCTTCCCGCTTCTAGATAACTGCCATATATGCCGATCAATTGGGGTGGTTGGTGCCAGGGGGGTCGGTCAATGGGGCGGCAGTCCGGACTGGCAGTCCCAGACAGGTCGTGTATGGGATTAGAAATCCTCAGAGTCTATGGCAGCGTTCGATCTGGGGCTCCTCACCATACGGGTTTGACGCTGTGTCCTTTGACCAAGGCTGATGTGAGTCTTTCAGGCCTCAGAGATGTTGGAACGGAAGATGTAAAGACCCCTATTGAAGATGGCTCTGTGAACATATTGATTGTTTAATGGCTGGGGCCGAGTTTTATGTCCAAACAAGAACTGCTGGCTTCATGTGAAGACCTGTGAAGACCCCAGTTATGTTTTTTGTTAAAACATCCTGACCTTCGCAGTGCAAAGCATCACCGAAATCTCTTCAACAGGTGACTTAGCACCGTGAATCTTGAGCCGAACCTCCCCCAAAGTCAGGAGGTTCTTTTTCACCGAACTCGCAGCGACCTCCGACCGGGCAGGCTACGACATGACGCATGCGACCACCATCCTGCAGATCTTCTTAACCTCCCCCAAGCCCGTGGTGCGCTTCGGCGCGATCCGCACGCTGAACATGCTCCCCGGCGGCGAGGTGCTTGGGTGTTTTGAGAGGCTTTAGGAACTGATTTGGGCCCCGAAACTGAACACAGGGTGCTTCAAAACAAGGTCCTACTATATGGTAGTGGGTCAAAACCTGGAGCTCCAAACCCTTAAGTAGGTTGACCGCCCTGAGATCCTAGTAGTATATACATGTTCACTGGTCCACCAGGGTCCCCCTGTGCCATTGACTCCACTGCCATATATCGCTCGAGCCGTACCGACCGGACTGGTCCCGTTTCACGGTGTCACCGTGATGTTTGCCAAGGCTGGCACAGACCCGGCCGCAGACAGCTTCCAGGCAGGTCCGCACAAAAAGGGATCCGCCAGAAAGAGTGGACTGAACCTCCAAAGTAAGCCATTCAGATCTCTATACAAAGGATTTGAGATCCTCTTTTTGACTGCACCGAAGTGTGGGGAACCCCGCGGCTGGCCTTCAGAAGCTCGGGCGAGGAAAGCTGTTGCTTGGGAGATGTGATCAGCTTGTTTTCAGCTTGTCTTGGAGATCTGATTCTGGGTCATGACACCAGTGTCTACTCAGACCTTCCGGTGGAGATGAAGCGACGGGGCCTCCGGTTCCGGTCTAGGGCCTACAGGGCTCGAAGGAGTCATCAGCCCGCATTTTGGTGAGGTTTGTTTTGGGGTTCAATCTCTTGAACCTACAGGGGGAACCGGGACCCCCTGGACCACCCTATCTGGATATAATGTATCAAGAGGGTCGGGTCGTCCAAGATCACCGGGACGTCTTAGACGTCACGTCACGCAAGACGAAAGGCGCCACGCGGACGTCACGTCTCCGCGGGTTGGCTTTGGCCTTTCCGGAACGGTCCGGAACGGTCAGCTGGGATGTCAAAAGCGAAGGACCTGGAGCCGAAGAGCTATAGCTATAGCCGATAGCCATACAATACATGGACACGGTCCATGGGGTTCTGAAGCTCACGGCCCGTTTTCGGGAAGAAGACTTGAAATTCAAGCCATATTAAACCAAAAACCGGGTGATGAAAGCAGACGTGAAAACCGTAGGGTCTTAGTTGGATCTGGCACGTGGGTCGTTTTGGCCCAACTCCTGGCTCCAACTCCGACCTCCCATCCCGCCGACCGTTTCCATGAAGGACAAACGGCTCGGCTCGAGCCCAAACACACTGTCGATCTTGAAGATGGGATTTCTGCCGTGATTCACAGTGATTCTGATAGCCTGATAGCATTCCATGTTGTGGCTTGCTTTGCCAAAAAATGATTTGATTGTCCACTACTATAGTAAGGGCCCTATTTGAGACAATCATCCATTGTCATCCACAGTTCTACCACCTCAGCCGGTTCTTCAGCCGCTCCGTTTCTCCGCTCCGCCCGGGGCTCCAGCTCGGCCTTCCGTGGCACCGATCGGTTTGACGGGGCAGGTGCAACTGCGACATGGAACCCTTGCTCTCGGACCAGAACCGCAACACTGCCACCTTGGCACTCACCACGCTGCTGAAGACCGGTCCGGGAGCGCCAGGGAGTGAAGCTGCGAAGCTCGGGGACGAGCAGAGATCGGAGCAGATCGGAGCACCGATCGGTAGCGGGGGGTAGATTCCAAAGGAACTCCAAAGACTAGTTCCAAAGACATCCAAAGACTATCTATCGTTTCAATGAATTCTTGACTTGGTCCATTTGCTATGGACATGTTTTATCACCTTTTCCTTGTGCTCAACTCCAGGCTCGTGGGTGGAACTCAGGGCCAGGCGTGGATTTCATGCGTTCGTTCACTCCCTCCAGTGACTGAGCCTCACCGAGGTACTTGAGGGACTGGTGGATGTAGAAGATGAACACCGGACATGATTGGAACAGAAAGAATATAGAAAGTGTATGAAGGCAGCTGTGGAGGTCGTAGTCCAGTGTTTGGTTGTGTTTGCCAACAAAACAGCGATTTGTGCTGGCAATGCAACTGAGCCACAAATGCAGACATCATCAGACGATCTTTGCCAACCTTGAAGCCATTCCGACAGATGCACCGGCACGATGTCGGGTTTTGCCACGTGTCATACCAGCACCTTCAAAGGGGTCACCAATGGAAGCCCCTACACTGGGATCTCCATTAAACACCCCTTTGAAGGTCCAGGTATGAGTCATATTTGTTATTGTTTGTGTGTGTTTCCGGTTTGTCATGGTTGTGATCTTGAACTCGTGTCCAATTGGACGCAGGTACCATCCTCCTCCAGGCATTCATTGTTCATGGTTTTTTTCCAGCTGAAGCCCCCTCCTTTGCTTTGTCCCGCACGGATGGAAAGAAATCGGCCCAGGCCATGAGTCGAATGTGGAGAGATTGGTGAAGCAGATCTCTTCCTTCATGTCAGCCACTGGGCTCGCAGAAGTCGTCAACTGAACTGGCTGCTTCTTTGGTTCAGTCCATTTGGCCTCGCCGGAAAGGCCGGGCGCCGGCGCTCCGGAGCAGGGGACGTGCTGCACGGGGGCAGCTGAGATCAATGTGAGCAACTGGCTGCAACTGGTAAGAGGCTGACCGTGCTGTCCCTGACCCACCAATGCCAATCCATTTGAGCAAAGGGTGTTTGCCTATGTCTTTATGTATACTGTATATATACCTATAGGACCTAGAACCTGATTGACCCCTGTTTTGGAGCCAAAACACGGTCTATTTCATATCAAAACAGATCAAAACAGAGGTCATGTCCGGATTCTGGTTATATATTATATATCCAAACAGGACAGGTCCGCACCCTTCAACAGGTCAGTGAACCTCCCACCTTGAAGTCTCCCAAATCCACTGGTGGGCACACCTGTAGAGTCGGGTGCTGGCACACGAATGTTCGATTGGGGATGGATCAATACTCATGGGTCAACGGACAGTCGATCCATTGGGTTACATGTTTTCTCTGAACAGTTTAAATTTAGAGTCATAGAAGTCAACTGAAAGTCTTCTTCTTTCAGGCCTCGTTTGTTCCCATCGAGAGTCTTGAGATTCACACCGGACCTCGCTTTCCGCCTGATCCTTCCACTGCTGAGGACATCACGGAGGTCTTCAAGGTGGAGGCGTTTTTCCGCTCCCCGTTTTCAAATTCGGAACGTGGACCAAACACCCCGCCAGTTCCGCTCGTGTTGGCTTCCAAGTGGCTGGCAGACACTGTTCGGAAGATGATAGGAGCGCCCATCCACCAGGATCCTCCACGTTTGCACGCCTGCCAAGAGCTGTTTCAGAGCTGTAGAAAACGGAAGTCAAAAGAGTCCTTCCAGAGAAACTGCAGATCAACATGTCTTCCAAGTGGGGTTACATAGAGCAGTTCCATTTACAGGAGGACCAGTGGATGTGAGGAATACTCAACTTGACCAGTTCCATTGGCAGCCGTGATGGTCATTGAAAGCTGCCAAGAGTTCCAACTCTGCAACAATGGATGACACAGTACTTTGATGCTTTAAGAGGCAATGGATGGGACCGAATCTGCTCAAATCTCCTTCCCTGGTTGGAATGACGCGTGTGTGGTATTGGAGTTTTTGACTTTCCTCATTTCACGATCTGTGCATGTCATCTCAAGTATGTATCTCAAGTATGTAGTATATACACTCCAAGTCACTTTCATCCAAATGGACAACCACCTGTAGAGGAAAATGGTCATCCAAGAGACCATTTTCCACTTGCATGATTGTTTCAGGGAGTGTAGAACATGAGATCATCGAGCACATGACAAATTGAGGTGCTTCCCTTTCTTTTTTGGTAAACAACAATGACTCGACAATAACTATGCAGCTTCGGGGTGGGCTTGTGTCACGGGCAAGAAGGTTTGGTCTCACGTGAAAACACCTCCCCCAACAAACCAAGCCACATACCTCCATAAGTCCAAACAACAAGAACAAGGCCTTTTCAGACGAATCCCAGCAACCTTGAGCCTGTGCACCCCAACGAAACGGCATTGAAAGAGCGGCAGGTGGTGCGAGCGGTGAAGGGCCTTTGCTTGCTCTATCCCGGGAAGTACAAGGCCGCGAAGGGCGCCGGAAGCGGGCAGCATTGATTGGATTGGCGTGATGGTGGATGGATGGACAGAAGTGAACTGGGCCCTGCATTGGATGGACAGGAGTACCCTGTCAAGCCAGTCCTTTTTGGAAGCAGATGAACTGGGGCAACTGCTTGTAGCTTGAAGGTCGATGTGGAGGGCCTGTACTTGCGAAGTTAACCCAAAGGTTTGTTGAACAGCCGAGCGTCCCGGTCCCACTAGGATCCTACGGTTTCCAACATAGCATTCCAAGAACAGTTCAGCACCGTTCTGCTGTCCAAAGTCCTTTCCACTTCCAAACCCATCCCAAACCCTAATAAGCCCGATCCCCTGGCCGTTTCGATGTTTCTACCGCCACGGTCGATCCATCCGCGTGGGGAACCCTGCGCACGTCCGCTTTGGCCAAGCCCCCCCAACACCACCCAAAAGCAAGGAAAGCAGCTCCGCTTGGGCCAAAACCGGAGCACCAGCGATCTCCCGTCCGGTGGCCAGGTACTGATGTCCTTCCTCTCCTCGAACCTCCGGGAAGATGGCACCGCAGAGATCAAGAAGGAGCCGCACGAAGCGTTGAAAGCGCGGAAAGAGCGTTGAGTTAGAAGGCCGCCACGAAAGGTTGCCTGAAAAAAGGGACTCTTCACCGTCAGCTGACCTATGAGATAGGTTTTACAAGGCTATGGTCTATAGGCTGTAGGGTTCTTCAACACTTTGTGTTTGCTTGTTTGTTTTGTTTTGTTTTGCTTCACACGTACTATTACTATAATATAATTACTCTCGCCACAGAGCACAAGAGAGTACTTCTTGTTCAGCCGTGGATCCTATACATGAGTCAACACATGCTTGCAAGGCAGCCGTTTCTTGAGCACCTTTACATCCCAAGAGACGTTAAAGAGGTGGCCCTAAGAATGTTCAAGGCATTTCCGGTAGATGATAACCACATCAAAGTGTTCAACCACTCTGCAAAACTTCTATGCTTGTTCCAGGAGGGGGGGGGGTTGAACACTGATTCCAGAAACGTCCTTGTTTCGGGCCCAGGGCGCCTGGTTCTTCCGTTCGTGAACCGGTCCGGTTCGGTCAAGATGGTTGGCACCGGTCCGGACGGTAGGTTTGATCACGGTAGGTAGGGACTGGCAAAAGGTGCACTGAAACCGAAGCTAGGACAGCCCACGAACTGTTTCAGCCATGCCTTTTTCACTGCTGAGAACGTCATGAATCCATGGGATCTGGAAGATTTGTCGCTTTTCTCCCTCGTCCAACATCTGAAAAACCAGCCATGCATGTGTATATTTCATTATATAACTATATATGTTTAATCCCATGATCCCATGGATTGTGTTTAAAGAGTCTAGACTACAGTCCCGGATCAACTAGAAAAAACTTTGGATTTTCTGGATCAAAACTGAAAAACACTTGGATCAAACTGACCAATGTCTTTTTTTGATGTCTATTCTTGTTTAATGTCTATTGGATCAAACATCGGATCAACTAAGCTCCTCAGGACCTCGTCGATGCGCTCATCCTCATTATCTCGCAGGTGCGGGACCCGCAGAAAACAGTGTCGAAGCCCAACACAACAGCAGTGTCGGGATGGTAAAGGGTCAGAACTTGAGCATGTTCTTATTTGACTTATTTTTGTTTGTTGTGCAGATGAAGATGTGTTATATCCGAGAATTGGTTTTATGCAGCTGACTTTAAGGGCAGAGGGGGCGTTGTTTGAGCTCATAGATCTATTGCAAGGTGGGTCTAGCTGTTTGGATCCGAGTGGACCCTTGAACAGCCATGGCAAGATTTGAAGAGCACAGCAGCGGCCATAGCCGCTGCTGCCCACCTGTTACTGTAGGACTCATGGGTCGCGAACCGGTCATGCCACCGACAGGGACAAAGGACTCCACTCCAATGCTGAGTGTCACATGGGTTGTGTATGAACTATAAGTTAAGATCAAGGCAAAAAAGCCAAGGAGCTAGTGCTTTTCAACCCTTCTTATTGTGCTTTATATATATATATATGTCTATTTCCGGTTTCGGAGGTCAAGAGTTGGGAGTACCGGTTTGGGTTCCGAGTAGTGTTTTGTTTTTTCCTGCTCTGAGTGGGTGTTCTTGACAGTACTAGTACAGTACCTCAGAGTGCCTCAATTCTCTCATTTGTGGAGGTGCTCTGAGAGTCGAGGATACTCTGATGGTCACATTCTGAGGGAAGCCTGGCTGGGTGCGATCCCAGCACGTCCCCCGAAACCCGCGGCGATCGATCGGCGGATCAGCCACAAGCCACAAGCCACGAGACGCTTCAGTAGAAACATGTACAAACTCACAGCCGTGTTAAAATTGAAGCATGTTTTCAGTACAAACCTTGGACTTCTTCTCTGCAAATCAAAAGACCTCCCCCCCCCCCCCGCTCTTCCTCCGCCACACCAAAGACGGCTGTGGCCGACCCCCCAAAAAAACCCGCGCCCCTTTCGCTTCCACCGCCGCAGTCGTCGCGTTTTCGCGTTTTCCTCTCAACCGACACCGCTCCCGAAAGCCACCGGTGTCCCGGCGGACCCCAGGTGCCGGCAGCGCGGGAGGTCGGCTTGTTGCACCTCTGCGAGTTCATCGAGGAGACGGAGGGACGGAGCGAACCCCAGACGGAGCGAACCCAGAGACGGGGGCCGAGTGGATGGAGACGAGCGGGGTCGGAACAACGCCTGGCCAGAATGGCCGAAGAAGGAAGGGCTGGCTGGAAGGAAAGCTCTTGAAAGAGAAGCGAAGTCGGGGGGAGGTGGTCGGGGAGTGTGTTGTGATGTTTTGTTCCATTTATAAATGAGTGGTATGAGTGGGTGAATGTGGGTGAGCCGAAATTGGAGAACAACATGGGGCTGTTGATTCTTCACTGTTTCACAAGACAGCTGCAGTGTATGTGTAGATTCTTGGAATGAAGGACTAGTTGTTTGCATGTTGTTTGTTGCGGATTTTGCAGATGGTCCATGTTTGTAAGATATTACAGTATTATTTCTCTACTCCAGGTCCAGTTGTTTTCTCCTACTCCAGCATGCTCCAGGGTGATTGCAACTGTTGGTAAGTGGGTCGTCATGAGCTGAGAAGTTCGAGTGTGGAACTTGCAGAGGAGGGCTTGATGTTTGAAGGTGGACTGGGGAAAGAGGCAGGTCGTATATAGAGAAGGATTGGTCTATCATTTGGACACAACCCATCAGAAGATTCTCAAAACTCAAAATCTGTCTCCTCAAGCTACGATCTCCATGCTGTCCTTGCCGTTTTCCATGATTTGTTTCCACGTGCAGGTGTTCCAGTCGAATCAGCATCGCAAGTGCTGTGTTCCTTGGAATACTAACAGGGTGGATGGACTCCAGCCGAAAAACAAGTGCCAGCTAAAACATGCTAAATTGAAGAAGAACAACTTAGACACTTGAGGTCTCGAGATGTCTTGAGGGAAAAACGGCGGCCTTCATCATCCTCGGCATGTTCCACGGCCAGGACTGTGAATATCCCAACCTTTGCACTCGCATCTTGGGTTTTCTGGGTGAAGAGGTGGGCGGCCCACGCGGTTGGCCTCGGCGGGCCGGGGTGGCGGAAAGCTGGGAGATGGTAGAGGAACCGAGACCGATGTTCTTTTTCTTTTTTTGGGGTTGGTGGTGGGAGAATCGACTGGACTGATGGAGATTCAATCCTTGATATTCCGAACCCCCAAATTCCATGGGTACCCATATGACTTTTGATTAATAAACAGGCCCAATTTAAGTTTGAACAACCTCTCTACATGGGGGGGTTTAATAATCAAGAGCCAATGGATACGGAAAGGAACCTTGAAGGAATGTTCCTCAGAGGTCCGGCGAATCTCCACCTTTATTCCCAGACACTCCATGGGACTGTCATATGTGCCGCCCCAGAAAGACCCCTGAAATCAACCACCCCAATATATGTATGTCAATATGAAAGTCCCATTAGTCATGTCTGGGATTGTAGAACACCCGACTCTTCCGTCCAGTTTGATGACTTTTTGACCGACTGAAGTAAAGGAAATTCCGACTTGGGTCACCGTTCGTCAGACCATTCTTTTATGGTCTAGGTGATGGTTTCGATATTTTTATTTTCAACCCTTACTTGGGGATGAAGAAGGACCCTCTGACTAATATTTTTCAAGTTGGTTGAAAACACCAAGCAGTAGTCTTTGACTCCCAGGGGATCAAAGAATGATTCGGAAGCGGTTTCGTCGGCCTTTTCGTTCCTTTGAGCGTCTTGTGTCTTGGTCCGAAGAATGAAAGCTTCTTTATGTTGAGCAAAAGTAGCCAGAAAGCGTGTCAGAAGGTCCAATATAGGCTGCTGCCTGATGAATTCTGGATTGGTTGTCTTATGCAAGGCATGTTCAATGCCTGACATTGTCATGAACGAAAGAGACCACTAGTTCGCAACTGCCTTAGCCATTGCAGGTGCCAAGCACTTCGCATCCCGCCAAGTACATCCGCTTCATATACAACCGCTCCTGGGCGGAAAAGAGAGGCTTTTGATTGCAGAACAAGGTGAGTTAGTTTTTCACCAAAAAGAGACCTGGACCCTTTTTAGGTGATTTTCCAGAGCTTAGCACACAAGTATACTGTCAGTTGTTCGAACGATGCAGCAAGAGGCCACAGAGACCACAGGGCAATGGGTTGCTTTTGGAACGGCAGGAAAGACAGGGGACGGGGACGGATGGATTGTCATAGCCCCCATGGATTTCGGGGACTTCGATCAACATCTTAAGACTTGTCGTCGATTTCTTCTCTCCTCCAGTTCACACGTGTGTAGCCGTGTAGCTGGAAAAAGGGAACCTCTTTTTGGGCCCTCATTCATGTCGTGGTAACGATGACGAGTAGTTTGCTTGTTTGGTTGAGTTGCAGAGTGGTGTTCCAGTGGACGAATCTTACTTCTGTCAAAAAGGCATCATTGTCCAGTCTACAGCCCCAGACAGACTTGTTGATTCTGGACACGGAGTGGCCTTCACGAGCTCGGTGCCCTTGTCTTGGTGCCCCAGGGCTGATTTTGGAGAATGCCTTGGTGAGGGCTGCGGCGGTGGACGCCTTGTCGAAGATCGCCATGCGCCTCGAAGTGGCGGAGGGGGACGGAGCAAAAGCGGATGCTGCCGCTACGGTGGGCGTGAAAACAGCTCAGAGAGATGTCAACATCTCTTTTGAAGTATGCTTGAATAAAACATCACTTGTGTTTCAATACCCGTTTCCAAGAGTCGTCTGAAACACAAAATGACTGGCAGAGGGGAGGGAAGAGGGAAGAGTCATGAGTGACTCATGAGTGACCTGGGACCCATCCCAAGTCCTAATCTGTCTTGGGTTGCAGTAATATGGACTCTGACTCTTGATTCATAAACCTTCCCCTTTGATCTCATAGGATTTGCAATCCAGGGTGTATTCATCAAGAGTACAGTAGGTCTTTGCTGAACTGGGCCCAGAGTTTAGAGACCTTGGGAGGAAGCGGATTCATAAAATTGTCCAGGCGCGCTTTGGACTAAGCACAATCGACTCTGACTAGCATGGAAACGGATAGTACCCTCCCTGCAACACCCAGTTTGTAGAGGAAAACAGTCTTCCAGTCAGGCCACCACGTCCACTCAACCATGATGTTGTTGGAGGGAGGGCACCTGTGGCTGTTCTGGCAGGGTTCCTTGGAACCTGCAATCGTCCACCACCATGTTGGTGAGTCAGAGTGTCAGCCTGGCTTTTTGAGCAGTTGTTGAATTGGGCCACTTGGCCCGCTGTTTTTGAAGCTTTTTTTTGGTGCAACAGCTTTGGGAGGTTCCCTCCATCAGATAAAATTTACGAGCCTAAGGTCGCAACACCTTCTAAGTCAGAATGTTGGATGATTTGGGAGAAGACGGTGTCCAAAACTGCCGATTGCAAGGACACCCCGAAGACACCCCAAAACCTCGTCGATTTGGAAGTTGTTGGACTGTATTTTGCGCAGGGTATGGCTATGCCGTATGCATACGCAGGAAGTGTGCATGATTCTTACAACTGTAGCCACCACTATAGACCAAAGCCAAAAGGTGTCAGACACATACCGATGGACATCAATGGACGAATCGAAGACTCACGTTCTCCACTCACCACTTCTTCACGCTCACGACTGACCGGACAGACTCGCGCCACGCACGCGGGGGCGAACCGCGGTCCTCACGCGAAGCGGCGGGTCACGCGGAGGAAGTGCGCCAACCTGCGGAAAGATGTGCTGATCCTCCTGCAGTGTCCTGACGCGTCCGGTCGATGTCGACACGGTCGTTTTCGGTCGTTTTGTTCCTGTGGTTTGGACCTGACGGGTTGGTTTCCGGTTCCAATAAAGGAAAAGGGTTTGGAGAGGGCTTCATGGTTTGATGTTGTTTTCTTTTTGCACCGGATAGCTGAAAGCAATAAAAGAACAAACAGGACCAGGAGTAGTTGTTACTGATTTCTTAGCTTCTCAATGACTTGATCGGCGTTTGGGTCCACCAATCTCCACGGCACTTTTGCTATAATATTTGAGATCTAGGCCGCGGAGTTAGTTGAAACCACCAGGAGAGTGTAACCCAGTCACGACCCATTCGGCTGTATACAGGTTGAAAAAGGGTCAATCAATCAATGTATGCGTGTACATATTCCATACATGGAGTGTTTCGGGGATAGTGTAATGTGTAATGTGCTGGAAGAAAAGGTGACAGGTGGTTGTATTTTGCTTCTGATGGTTTGCTTCTGACAGGTGACGGGGGATGGTAACTTATAGCAGATTGGCCCCGTCGAGCAAGAAATGGAGATTGGTCTTGCACAGGGGCTTGGGTGTAGACATGTGACATGTGTATAGACCGGAGGCGGATGATTTATGGAGATTCCTACTTGTAAATGTGAATTGACCAGCATACAGCCAGCATACAGCCAGCATACAGCCGCATGCTCGGCATAATAGCATACAGCTGCATAGAGCCAGCATACAGCCAGGTGTTCGGAGTCTGGTGGTTTCTCCATGGACAGAGGTCCGAGTCTGTGGACACGGTGACTGGACTCCTATAGGACCGACGATCTGAGTCAAGGCCCTGACCTGCTGGTGACCAGGGTCATCCGAGTGTTGAAGAAGGACAAGTCGCAACGATTCTCAAAGTCATTCAGCATGGAAGTGGATGAACTCCACCACCCACTACCACCATTCACCTGCCATCTGAGTCTTCGGAAGACTCGCCATGCCACGTCACATCACCCAACCGTACAGGCCAGGAACCGAAATGAAGGTGGGTCATGCCAAAGGCATGATAGATACAAGGCCTGGTTTAGACACGTCTCCTTGAACCCGTGCATGCATGGTATATTAGGGTTTATCCATTCCCTATAGGGATCCAAGTACCTCCTCAAAGGGTACTTGGACCCTCCTGGCACCCGGGCCCCCAGTCCCACCGAACCTCAGAGGGTACGACTGCATCCTTAGGGATTACCCAGACACTCCATGCATGGAATATATATATATATGCCGATCAGGCCAGGGGTGGTTGCCAGGGGGTCAATGGGGCGGCAGTCCTATGGCGCTCCCAGACGGGTCGTGTCTGGATGATGGTTTCTCCATGTCTTTGGTTCCGAAAAACCACCCATCCAACGGCTCCCACTGGCACCTGCACCACGCCTCTCCGCCTGTTTCTCAGCTCCGAGGTTC